GGGATTCGTGGAGTGTTGTAAAGCCATAAAGTTCACTCGAGGTTTTATTGCGAGGAAATAATCGAAGGAATCGCGAACAAATCATTTGCGCTCGCCTCGAATTATCGGGAGTTGTTTTTATGAGAAACCACGCGAATGAAGTTGAATTTGTCCCCGAATTGTACCTGAAATTCTCACTTAAAGTCTAAAAGGCGGAGCTGAAAGGGTTCAGCGAGGAAGAGAAACGCGATGACGCAGGAAATGTTGGTAATAAAACCAATATTCCGCTCAGCGGGCGGCAGAGCTTAAGACAATGCCGGGATCCTCGCAGTGACCAGGATTTATTCGGCGCTTCCGAATCTCTGTGGCGAATTTCTGGTCTCCACGGGCGGTTGATGGACGGATCTTCGATGTGGCATCCGAGGAGCGGCACTTGGAGCCGTCAAGCGTCGACAGACGCACTCCGAGCCGCTCGGGCGGAAGCTCATGAAATTGATGGGCGCCGAGTGATAAATTCTCGGCGGGACTCCAGTTCGGAGCTCATCAATTAACCATCGGGAGATTCCTTCGCTCGCCTCTAGTACAAATGGCCTGTGCCAGTAATTGATTGTGATTTCCGCCCTTTCCGGCCGACGCTCGCCGATGCAAACTACCCAGATGACTCCAGCGTGTTTCCATGTTCGAGCATTAGTTCGCTCGCGAAGGACAGAGATAATCTGGCAGATTTATGGCAAAAGTTTCGTGCGATTTCAAACACCTTTTGTCGTTTTATCAGCCGCCGCACGAGCAGATGCGGAGCTTCGTCGCCGCAGAAAGCGCGCTCGGAAACGCACTTGAATCGTCCGCATGGCAGCTTGACACCCAATTCGGCGCCGCGACGCTACACTTAAAGTGCAAATAAGGTCGTTAGATGAAGTCCTTCAATTATTCTGTTTGCGGACGCTGATGGGGTTGAAAACGACGACGAAGACGAGCACATTCGGGATTCTTCCCCTTGTTTACCCCAGAAGTCAAGCTTTAAAGTCGTTCCTCTGAATTTTTCATGAGGCCGAGAAGTGATTTCAGAGCGCTCAAATAATGATGCTCAACCACGCAATTGACGTTAGTCGAGACGCGAGTGAATTATGAGGAAGAGTTGCTGATGAAAAATGGAGAACTTTCGGGCTGCATTTAAAATTCAGGGCAGCGGAGTTCATTTGGGCCACTTTGATAGCGACTCGCTAATGGACTCGCAAAGCTGCCCAAATGAGCTCTGGTCAGGTGTTCGGGCGATAATTCAGCGCGCGATGAAAGTCTCCAGGCGGATTCTCGCGATGGTTGTCGAGAGATTAGGCGCAAAATGCACTCCGCGCGACGCCCGTAAATCAAGAGCGCTTCTCGCGGCGGTGCAGCAAATTAGTGAGTCGTTCCGATGGGATTCGCAGCGAACAGGTGTCGATTGTCCTGGGCAAGCAGACGCTAATTGACGGCGCCGCGGTGAAAGCACTGGACATCGGCTGCATCCCGAGCACTTTGCGTGCGACGCGTCATAAATTGCAGCACAAACACGCGACGCGATCTGCGCCCTCAGGAAACTCCCTCCCATTTCCGGGCCGGAAGACCGGCAGCCGAACAAGGCAACTTTTGTGGCTGCTCTCGAAACGGCGCAAAAAGTCCCCGCGAAGCTGCGGAGGGTTTAATCTGCGCCATGATTAATGGCGCCTGTCTCGAAGCCTGGCCAGAACCAGTGGCAGACGCTCTGCTCGGCGACTCTTTCGCCGCCCCCGAGCGCCGCAGGAACTGAAGCGGTCAGGCGGCCATCGCCATATCGCGGACTTCTGATATGCGAATGCAAATTTCCCGCGTCATGCAAATGCCGGGATTGGAAGTCGTGAACTAAAACAATGAGATTTAATCTCTGCGGAGAGTCGGGAAAATAGTGAATTTCTCATTCTAGTGTGGAAATACAGAATCAATGCATAAAAATTGGTTGACTTTTTTGAGCTTTTTGCCTCTTCGAGTTCAAGTGAGCGGTTTAACGACTCTCCAAAAAATCTCGAAGACGCAATTTGACTTTGGAACTCCTTTGGGAAATTGGACTAAGAAACTCTTTCATTATTCGTCAAGTCTGTGCAGGAAAATGTCTCGCCGAGGCAGCAAAAGTTTCCTAATTAATCAAAGACTTGCCAGAAGCATGCATTGAGGCTGAGAAAATGGTAATTCATTGGCCTCTTTGACCGGAAGTCGCGGACAAACGCGCTCGTCTTTCTGTCCAAAGCAGAGTAATTCAATTGCAGTGCTGAAATGAAATTCGCCCATGAAAGGAATTCAATTATCCGCCAAACGGCGAAGAGTGATTGCGAAATGTTTCGTCAATGACTGCAGAGACAATTTGCCGTCCTCGAAGTGCTTCCTCGAGACTGGCGAAACAATGCACTCGTGCTGGACTTATCTTGCGGCCCAGACGACTGCCTGGCATTCGATAGTCTTGCGGATCAATGAACTGCTCGGGAAGATGATAAATGGACAGAATTGCGACACAGCTTAACTTTTGTCATAATGCAATTAGCGGCGGAATTAAATAATTGGAGAATTCCGTTCCTGCCGCTCCAGGAAATAGTTTTCCCGCAGCGCCAACAATTCTCGGGCGCAGAGGTGAATCGATGGGCCGGGGAAAAGAATTTCCAGCTGGGGGAGGATTTCACATGTGAACAAGGGGGAAAAATGCGAAAGAGTGCCGCTGTCACACGGAGAAGAGTGGAATTCATTAATAACTTGATCCTCTCGCATGGGAAGCTTCGGATCCGGGCTTCGTCTGCGAAAGAGTGTAATCCGTCCGGAGGAAAAGGATCGCCGGAACGTGACTCCTTTTCAAATGCACACCCGTTTCACTCTCATGACATATTCGTCGCTTTGATTTCACTGAATTAGAAAGAATGTTCGGAATTGTCGCTGCGCAAAGTGGATTAAGCCAAATTGCATTTTATTAGCCACGATCCATTGCCAAGTTCATCCTTCAGGGCGCGGCTAATGAACCGTCGTGCCGGGAAATCGTCCTGAGTTCAAGCGTTCGCTCTTATCTTCGCCGATGAGAACAGTCACTCGGTGTGCCCACCGAGAATCCCGCCGAGAAGTGGCTTCAGCTTCCACGCTTTGTGTGATATTTTATGCAAATTGCGTGCGTTCTAATGGATTTCTTCGTCGCGCCGAGACAGAAAAAAAGAAGGACAACAGAGAGCGTCAAGGATGCCTTGTAATTACTTTTTCTTGTCTCTTTCATTTGCGAAAACATCGCAAAGTGGCCGAAAAGGCAGAGAGTTTGAGGACTCGGAGAAAGTAATTTAATTTTCCGAGAGATCTGCTAATTTCAAAACGATTCCCAGAATTCTTCAATACATCGAGAGAGCCTTCGTTAATGGGCAGAGGCTCTTTCACATTTCACCCTGAAGGACGCTGACAAATCCGCGAACGTGCATTTCTGGCAGATTGCATGGAAGTGGGAAAGGCGAGAAAATGCATGACGGAAATGCCGCCAGCATCACAGCAAATCCGTTTATGTGGAGAGCTCTTCGGGAAGAGAGCCGCGTCCGGGAAGATGCAAATGTGGGCGAGAGGATGCGAGAATGCACCTCATATTTCACAGGCTGTGAACGAAAAGCCTCGCTTCTTTGACGTTTATGTTCCTCGCCTTTGTTGCCGCCGCGCGATTCCCCATCAATTCTCCTCCGGCTTTTTGTTGTCTCTTCGGTGAGTAAATCAAATCAAAACCCTTCTCGATCCGACTTCCAATTCCAGCGCAAAAACCCGCGCCATCTCGTCTCTTTGCCATGCGAAATGCAAGAAGTCCCGAGCGATAAGTCACTCGACCTGCCCGAGCCTCGACAGCTCATATTTCCCGCCCGGCAAAAAGACACCTGCATTTTATTGTTTCCATTACGTCAAATCCGTCTCCCGACGGCTTCTGCGATGGAATGAGGCAATTTGCGAATCCCTTCGCAAAATTCGATCTGAGGATTCGCGATTCTGGGAATTCGCGCGACGCCCAATTAAAGCCACTCGCGATTGTTGAGCGCTCGTCCTGAAAAACGCGCCTTCCGGAGAGTGATTCAGCCTTCCGCCCGTCGACAGGCTCTTTGCGCTGAGTCAGGGACGAAATTGCCTCCTGCCGCCCCTCGAGAGGGGTTTAAATGCGAACATTTTTGGGATCTGCTCGTGACAGGCAGAAACACAACACGTCGCGAGGAATTCCCGCAGATTTATCATCATATGTGTGACAATTTAGTGGCGCGACTTAATTATTTCCCACGAGGCTCTGTGAGTCCTTGCGATCGGGATTAGAGCCATTCTCGCCGCTTCTTTTTAAGGATCGTCGCCATAATTCACGTCGCTTGCGTGGATTTATAGGCTCACACGCGTTCCGGATCCGGTGGCGAAAGTCGCCATTGAGCTATTATTATTGTTACAAAGTTATTACACATTTTTTATCATACCAGAGAATTTGCATGAGGAAGTCAAAATATACATGAATATTGCTTATTTCTCCTTCCTGTTCAATGAACTTTGATGCAAAAATGTGCAGAACTTACAGCATTCATCTTTCGCAACGAATATCAGCCCTTTGTCTCGCCAATCAAGTTCACATGCTGAAAGGGAATAAATTGCTACTTGTTACCATTCAGAATAGCACAGAAGACCATGATAGTCGATTTCTGCACACCCTTTGGCGCACTGTTGAGCAAATGTAGAAACTTTTCCGATGAAAAATTCCCTCCCATTATTGAAAAAACTTCAGTGAACGCGGAAACCTATTCAGCGAAACGTGAAACACTGCGATGCTGGATTGGATACAAATGATGGTGAGCATGAAGAGTGAAGGCGAAGAGACATGAAATGTCTTCGGAATTATTTTATTCGCAAAACTTTTCACATGGCGGAAATGGCCAACCAACTCGACGAACGAATTGCATTTGACGATGCGAAAAGTTTCTGCACAAACCAATAAAAGACGGCACATGCAAAACACATTTGGTAATTCTTATTCCACTTATATTTCAATTTTTATTTCCATCCTTTACGGACTCTTTTATACAATTTGATTCCTTTTCTATGGCATATCAAACAAACACAATATGAGATATTCCTTAGCTGTACTTTCTTGCAATCGTCACATTGTCAAGTATTGATTTTGCTGTCCAACTCTGTGCTTCATTATCTTTTCATGCGGGTTGAATGCATCAGATATCTCGCAATTACTCTACTTTTCTCATTCATCCCTGCATTTCAAAGGGTGTTTCTGCAATTATTCTATTACGGAGTGGCGAAGTGACAACTCTCACTGTAACTTAACAATCCGAAATTACATCGATAGTCGCATTATCTCTCAAAACCCAAGATACATTGAAGCCCGTGTTGAAACACCCTCTCGTCACAGTTCACAGCAAAATAGTATGCAAATGCAGCTGATGTGTCTCACTTTGAATTCCTGCCAATTAATATCAACAGCAGTTTCCGTCATGTTAAGGATGATGTTTTTATAGCTAAACACTATGAGTATGATATTTACATTCGAGAGTTTAATTACTAAGAATCATAATAGTTGGAGATGCTTTGGCACCTTCTCATTGCACCACACAAATGCTCAGAACTCACCATTCTCTGCACGTGCTCGCAAGTGCAGCACCGAAATCTTGCTCAACGTCACGACAATGGAATTTTAATTGTCAACCCTGAAACGCGAAGAACACTTTAAGGGCACCAACTCTCTGCAGTAATCCTCGATGTGCTGTGGTTTAATTTAGGCCAACGTCTCGAGGCACCTAACAGATTTCACTAAGCTCCCAACACATGTAGAGACAGCATCAGAAGTTGAAGAGTCACAGCGTCCTTTAGTGCCGAAAATGCCTCCAAACGGGTTTTATTTGGATGAGCCTCTAAAAGAAAACAATGTAATCAACCTCCTTTTGAAAAGCACACACAGTCGCTCTCAAAGTGGCCCTCGAAAAATTGATAAATGAAATAATTTTAATTAACAAATTATTAATATGAATTTGATGAAATACAAAAATTGCATTTCCACGGAAATGACATTTGCAATATACATGCAAATTGAATACTGGAAATTAATATTTGCTCATAAATTGAAGCAAAATAATTCATTAACTTAATATAAATTAAAATATATAGATAAAAAAGTTATAAACAAATCGAAACACATTTTCTGTTAAATTAATAGTCAGATACAATAATGACTTTTGTAATGATTTTTTTCGGCTAACTATGTAGTAATCAACGAGAGGAAAGAAATATTTTTAAAGAAACCATTGTGTTTTTACGCTCCGCCCACGCGAAAGCGCCGCCCATACCAGTGTAATTCTTGCTCTTAAAGTCTTTATGTTCCGCACCGCAACGGAAACTCACTATTTACATATAATCTCCACAATTCACTTCTGCCAGAATGCCAGAAAAAATGTTCCCAGAGAGTGATGGATTGCAATAAAAAAATATATTAACCTCTCGTGCGGCGAACCCTGAATAGTAGAGCTTATAGTTGTGGAGCCGAAAAAGTATTGATAGTGTTTGACGAATAAATGAACATTGAGATAGAAGTGGGGAGAAAATGTCTGACAATATTTATGACGGAAAAGGATATAAATCACACAATTTCGGAGGAGAGTGTATGTGCTCTGGAATTGTTTGAGGAATGGTGTATTTGGCAATTTGCCATGTCGTGATTTCCACTGTGTCACTCGAGTGAGTGCATGATGCTGATACAGTGGCCGGGTGATTTCGGTGGAAGGAAGATATTGAGGGTGAAAAAGGCAATCTCTCCGCCCAAGTCATAATTACCTGTCATGGTGGAGCTGTTTGTGTTCCGTGGCAGCGTCGTGCACTCCGTTCTGTACGTGATCTGCTGCTGCGTCTGCATTCCCGTGGACTTGGGCAGTGTCATCATGCCCGTGAATGTCGCCCCAGCGCCGCCCCGGGTGAATATCTGGGCATTCTTCATGGGCAGCGTCACTTGCTCGCTTCGGCTCTTGTACGTGCCGGTGCTGGAGTCAGTCAGTGGAATTTTGGTCTGAATGCATCCGCCAGTCGTATTTATTTGGATGCTGTTGCTACAGATGTGCGGCGACTTGATGTCGTTCGAGAGCAGAATGGTGCCCGAATCGTGATTCTCCACATCGACAATCACATTCGATGACTGCGAGTGTCCCAAGTGGAAGTGGGCGTGCTTGATCGGGTCGTAAGACTGCTGGTGCATCTCGCGCTGCTGATATTGCTTCTGCAGACTCTTCACCTCCAGGCGCGTCTTGTCGCGCTGGTAGTACACGCCCGCGAAGATGAGCACGTTGAGGATGAGGAGGCTGCAGCCGATGGCGATGGTGACACTGAGGGCAGTGGAGTAGGCGGCGTAGCCCGAGTCGCCGCTCAGCGTGTCACTTGTGGAGCTGTTGAGGGATGTGGCGACGAGTGTGGTGAAATTCCCCACAGGCATGCACGTTGTCAGCGAGGACGGCTCGACGGTGGTGATACCTACAGGAATATGCATGGGCCAGAAAGTTGGGTGCATTAAAACAGATAGAACTCATCCGCTCCATATCATTTCTCATTGTCCCACCCCACGTGCGTTCCCGCAATTCTGACAGTGTCAGAGGTATTATTCATTATTCATCCGCACCTAATGACGCAATTTCACTGGAATTTCCACGTCGCAGTGTCTCCTCGAGGAATGACAGTCGAGACAGCGTATCTGGCTTCACGAGACCATCATAGAGATCCATGTTGTCGTGGTTTCTGAATAAGTTATGCCTGGCAATGACATCCTCCATCCCCGCCCGATGGAGTTCAGGGATCAGTCTCAGCCAAATTGACAGTTGATGGGCTCGAAAGTGGTTTTTCATTCTTGGCTTCATCCCTGCCAAACGATATATGGATTGCTTTATAGCGGTCACTTCACACTGCCTGCATAAGTGAAATCAATTGATTCAAAATCAATAGCCATACCAGCTTCCAAGTACTTCTGATGGACAGGGTCATATTCATCCCATGTTATGCCCCTAAAGCGATTCCTCTCTTTTGATGCTGCCATCAGAGTGTCTTGCCTGTGATGTTCATTTGGATTCCTGCAATTTCACTTCAAATCCATTAATTTACATCAACACAAAACCGGGAGAGGGTTGAAATCTGTGCTCAACATTCCACCCCATTTAACTACACACCCCTATTTAAAGGCTGCTCCAGTGCGCACGGGAAAGAAAGCCAGAGAGTTGGCCAGAATCTCAATTGACCGACAAGTGAAAGAGGAATAAAGTGAGAGTCACACTTTAAACTAAATGATACATCAATTTTACCAATTTTAAAGATTCCGAAGTGTTTTGAAAAGCGCATGGACCAGCAAATTAATTCAGAAAGACTCTTCATTCGTTTGAGAAATGATTTTTTCCTCACCCAGATCGGGCGAAATTGCTCCAGAAGAGGATTATAGACTCGGATAGAGACACTTCTGCCTTGGTGTAATTGTGGGGAAAGTGGCTGAAGCCGTCCACCAGCGGAGCCCCAAAGATGTATGGCAAGTCCTCGCCGTGAACCGTTCCCATGCGCTGCGGATAGTCGCCCTCCTTGGTCTGGTAGTCGAACACGTAGAAGAAGCACTTGGGGCCGGACTTCTCCTGGCCGGGCAGCGCCGGCGGAGGCGCCAGCGTGTCTCCCGTGTGCACAAGTGGCGCCACGAACTGCGCGTCCGACAGAGCCGCCACTGCGGCGTCCCTCGTGTTGATGGGATGCTGTGACGTCCGCTCCCAGTCCGTGTACTCGTTCACGACCTGTAATTGGGTGCGTGTCACTCTCGCCAAAGCGTGCACTGCGAGCCACTCACCGTGTAGAAAATCTCGCTGAGGTGAAAAGTGTAGGCATTGCGGACGTACGTCCGGATGATCTTATCGCGACGCTCGCCCTCGAAGCCGTTCAGGATGTCGACATTGCTGAACCGCCACAGAGCCTCTCCTGTCACCACGGAGAACAGGAGATCGTATCGCACTTCCTGGGAACGCTTCATGGCCGCTGGCAGATCGGGGTCTTGATTCGATAATCCCCGTCTTATCACAACTCCATCCACTGACGGCCCGAAGGCGGAAAGGAAGCTGGGCGCTTCGATGTCGACCGCCAGCAAGTCTTCGAGTGGGATATCACGAAGGCAATCGACAATTTGCTCGTGGCTCTTAATCATGTCTTGAGGGATGGTGCAGTTGAGCTCCTTGGCCAGCTTCAGGGCGTACACGACCGGGTCCTCGACGATGGCCCATGACGCGTACGCCGAGCCCGAGAGCAGGATGGCGCGATGGAATAGACCCGGCACCATTGTCGGCGACGTCATAAGGAAGTTGATGCATGCCGCGCCGCTGCCGTGACCCGAGAGTGTCACTGACGTGGGATCGCCGCCGAACTTGGCGATGTTCTGCTGCACCCAGTGCAGCGCCGCCATCTGATCCATAAGGCCATAGTTCGCCACGCGAGCTCGGATTTGAGGGCTCGGATTGGCATTGAGAAAACCTGGGAAGTCACGGGCTCAGTGAGTTTACATGCTGATGCACTGGAATGGGATTTGTGCACATACCTAATATACCTAATCGATAATTTAGTGTGACAACTACTAAGTCTCCGTAGCTGGCCAGGACTGAGCCATCGTATGGATTGCCACTGTTCCACTCAAATGACTCTCCGTGTATGAAGACAATAACAGGAAGCTTCTTCTCTGCCGTCGCAGCTGCACAATGACGTGGGTGAAATTGGAGGAGATAAATAGGGAGAGGTGGTGAGGATGCGATATGTGTATCTTGTTGACTTTTCACTCCCGCCCCATGAACTACTTCTCGCACGGCGTCGCAAAAGATACCGACGCCGAGGGGGCGTTGAATGTACATGAAGAGGCTGCGAGTGTCATTGGAAACACTTACCGTGCACCGGAGAAAAGACGTTCAAGTAGAGACAATCCTCGGATTGGTTCTGCAGGAATGGCAGCAGACGCTTCAGATATTCTAATCGGCCTCTTGGCATCTTTTCAAGAGCCAGAGTCTCATTAGTTACTTTTGGCAGCCTCTGAGGACACACGGCACTGTATTTGTCTGATATCCGGATCCCGTCCCACGGCGACGTCGTTCGGGTGGGACTGAATCTGTTGAGAGAGGAAAGCGAAGGGAAAAAATTACATCATTATTATATTTCACCCTCACTCGCATTCAGCACTGATTGAAGAGCTCTCGTCAGACATTTTCGAACAAATACAATTATCATGAAAACGCTGGCGCCCCAGGTTTGAAGAAAATCATGTGATATATAGGAGATTTATCACTCTTCTCATTTTCCACATCACAAACTTCTCTGAATGTTACCCCCAAGGCTTCCCTTTTGTACCAACTTCGCACAGAGACTACCGGATGGGGTTTCCGCCGTGACGCAACGCCCAACTTACGCCAGATACTCTGTATACTCATGATAAATCAAAAGCTTTTCACCCCCACTAATTCCTTTTATTAAATCACCCGGGGTGTGATTTAATAATTGTGGGTGAAACTGGTAAACAAACAGCTCACAAATTTTTGCTCAAAGTCTCAATTCGCCTTTGTGCAAATGAAAAGATCTCGACGGCAAGAATTTTCTCCTAAATTTAGCACTCAAACTCTTAATTGAAGCATCTTTTGTGCTGCACATGGTGTGAAATTGTATATAATTTAAAATTATAATGCCGAAATGCAGAAAAAATGGGAATGTGAGTAATCAAGAGAGCGCTTCCAGCAATGGCGCTTTGCCAGAATTCCAACATTATTTTTCTTATATTGCAGTGTTTCGAATATAAAACCATTTATTTGCAATTTGTGAGAAATTCTTTTTACTCGTCGTAGAAATGAAATGCTTTAAAAAAAAAGTTTGTTTTCCATTAATTAATTTGTCCAACACTTGGAAAAAGTGCAAAACATGCTGTTATTTTTCTTTTTCTATTCTAAATATTGTTCTTGGTAATTGAATAATGCTTGCAAAAAACTTAATTAACATGTTTAAAAATTCATAAGTATATAACTTCTTAATTTCGACAAGATTTTCAGGAAACTACAAGATTTGCAAAACATTTTGAAGTATTGATCAACTCGAGATTAAGTATGAAACAAATTCATTCCAATCTTCGGTTAACTTAAAATAATACATATGTCACATTATTATTGCAAATATGTTTTTAGACATGGTTAAAGTCTTGCGAACTTAACCACAAATCTTCAATCTTATCTTCTATCATGATTATGAGTTTGGACAAATTAATCTTGTCAACAATGCTAATAAGTTAAGCTCTCATTTGTGATAAACATATAGCAGAGACTACAAGTCTCTTCCTCTTTTCATATATTGTTTTTGGGGTGAAAAAAAAAAAATTCCATACAGCATAGATAAAAGTTAAGTGTTTCATGCATAATTCAGCGAAAGCGTCCCAAATTTGTGTACAGCTTATATTGTTGCGGGGAAACTTTTCAGTGGAGAAACTCCACGAAAAACCCCTAATAGAGCATCGTCTCCGTCATTCACGAACCCTCGTATGTATTTTAGATGAGGCCAGGGCCAGATGGTACACTGAGCGGAAAGTTGATATGAGTAGTGGGGTGTTTTACATTAAATCCCAATAAAAACACCACACAAGAATTTGGAATATTCATGGAGAAATTAGTATGTGACATAAATTTTCGCGAGTCTTCCAACACTTGACGGTAAATCTGTTTATTCATATCTCACAATTGCGCTTTGTTATGCCGCTTGGTGAGCTCTTCAATTGAGCAACTCTCATGGTGTGTATATACATCATCGAGAGAGTCCCAAGCATCTTAGCATTATGGCAGATGGAAGGCAAGCAGTGCGGAAGTAATGCTATTCCATTGAGGGGCAATATCTAAGCATTGAATTGCTTACGTATTACTGTATTTTGGGATTGTCGTCAATACGGACAGTCGAGCGGAAGGAAGGCAGTTTCGCATCGATTGCGGTCTGCAGAGTCTCTGGGATGGCATGAAATATCACTCACAAATCATGCCGTAACTGTCCCATCGCCCTTAATGAATTATGAAAGGTATGGTTGTTGGTCGAAAATTTGTCATTGCTTGGACATTTAATTAATTTCCCACTTCATCCGGATCAATGCAATTTGGACTCTTCGCCACTGACCCTCATATTTTGATGAATTTAACGCAAACACCATATGCCAGGCAGATTCCATGAATTTATGCATGAAGGTAAATAACTACCGGGCAAACAGTATTACTGTGCGCTCCGCTGGAATTGATATCCAAATGTGAATTGGCAAATGCACATTCATAAATTTGCACTATATGTATTTATGCAGCCTTGTAGAGACAATATTGTGGACAAGTTTCCTTCCCTAGACACTTGAACAAACCCCTAAGCCAAACACATTACGTCATTGTTGTGTGTGCAAAAGAAAGTTTTGCTACACTTTTCATTGTGGTCACAACTAGAGAAAAGCTCTTGGAAATCTAACGAGGGCAGAATCCAGGACAAAGAGAGTCTCAAGACTCGGTTTTCCATCCGCAAGCTTCCTCTTTCCTGTGGCTTTTCCTCCTTCAAACCCACCAAATCGAACAATACCATGTATAAATGCATTACGCTAAAGTGGACCAAACACACACTGAATACAAAAACACAAAACGCCACCGCAAACAGTCATGAATAATGAATTAAATAAAATTTCTGCAATATTACGGTGTAATTTGACGAATGAAATTATGCTATGTGAGCTTTTGCGAGCATCAAATTCACAATTCCGGAAGAATTGTTGCGACGCGAAGCAAGGAAAAGGTAACAAACAAATCAAAGAATAACGAGTATGCACGTAGAGAGTCTCTGTAATCAGTGATGCGACATGTGAAAGTGATATAGAGTAAATATGCAAAGTTGCAGCACTCATGGAAACCATATCACGTCACATCAAACGCGAGAACTTCATCACTTGTGGTTTCAGTTGCGGAAATGTGATTATATCTGAACGGATAAATTGCAATGCAGAGGAATTATGCTAATGAAATTAAATGCTGAAAATCAACAATGTATACGAGTGGGCGGGGCATTTGCGTGGGCGGAGCTCTTGATTTTATTCAGTGTGATTTCGCGCTGATAATCGCTTTTGACTGTGTTTGCTCAGCTGAGTTCGATTACTCTGGAACTCATCTTCTCATAAATGGCATCGAACTTTATTTGAACATTTGTGATCACGTAAAATTTATTTATCTTATTACAATGAAACTCTCAAGTGATTACACACCTAATCCCACTCGATTCTCAAATGTGGAGACACACAATGAGGGAAAGCTCCGAACCTCAGACCATAAAATTAATTATAATCCGTATGCAACTCATCCCTCGTCCTCAAACATTCCTTACGTGCTCGAAACATCATCAATCTTTGTCTTATTAATTCAGAATTAGCAAGCAATTAAAAACGCATTCGCTCCACTCGTTTGCTTCGCAGCGAAAGAAGATGCTTAATATTCAGGCCAATTCAGTGTCTCTGCACAACTGTCTGTTCTGTCTTGCTTCATTTGACGGAAATTCAGTGGCAACACTTCGGATGATTGAAGACGCCAAATTAGATCGAGAAGTCTTCTCATCGAAGCCTGTTGCGGCGCGACGCCCACTCAATTCTCCGGCAGTCCATCGATGTCAGCGCCAGAAGAGATTCTGGGCCTCGGATCAGCGTCTCGGGTTGACATAGAGTCGCAATTATCGCTCGAGAGGGTGTGAAAGGTCGCGCAAATGGACTTTTAAGGACCTCACGAGGCGCCAAATTGGGAAACAATTCCTGCGCCGGAGCGAGGATTCGACTGAGGCGCCAGATTCTCAGGAGCCCATCGAAGATCAATCAGGCGCATTTGTTGGCTTGCGGCGCTGCAGAGAAATTGAATTATCCAATCACTTCAGCCTCGCCGAGGGATTTCGTGGTCTCGCGCCAGAAAGGACAACAGGAAGCGCTTCGTTGTCTCAGACTCGCCTCGGAATGTGAATTTTTATCGGGAAAGTCAGAAAGAGATGCTCGTGTGCCAGGAAAGTGGCTTGAGATAGGGATTCCTTTGCGCCTCGTGGGCAAGATGTGGATCGGGTTTGAGTGGGAAAAATATGTTGTAACGCCGACTTTAAGTCGGCCACACAGTTCACAAAAAGTTGAACTTTGGGTGAAAGTTTTAAAATTAAGTTTCTCCCAGGGTGGAAGTTTCTCAGTGAAGGAGAGGCAAATTGATAAGCTTCCAAACTGATACACTTTGTGTTGGTTTCAGTTGCAAGACCTCTAAAACGAGTTGTGCTCAACTCATATAATAAAAGTGAGAAACTCCTCGGGAAAGTTTTCTCTTCATCCTTTCGCCTTTGAGCCACTCTTTTGCAGCACAATTCGCCTTCTCTGCTTTGAGCTTGAGCATTTCTGTGGTGTTTTCTTTCGCCCCAAGTCAAGAGGAAAAGGATTGGGACTCGAGTATCTGTTCTTCCTTTGATGAATGAAAGAGGAGAATTGATCGGTGGAAAAGCTGCCACTTGAATTCAATTAGAATGCTTGTATGAATGTATGTGTATGCGTAGTTTTATTGTGAAAATAATGCCGGCGATTTCTCATGTCCACCCTACAGAGCTTTCTTCTTGCTGTGCCTGAGAATGTATGAGTCGTTTTGGGGATTTATTATGGTGGTGAATTGTCCGGAAATAAAACACCAACCATCATTTCAACCATTTACCCCACACTTTCTCCCGCCTTCGCCGAAAGTATCTGTTTGGACGCCTTCAAGGAGGAAAATTCAGTCTTGTCGAGTGTTTTGCCAACTCTCCTCGCTCTCACTTCTTGAGGACCTCTCGCAACTTGAGCTAAGAACGGACATGTGGCTAATGTAATGTATAAATGTATACCAATTGCGAATTCCTTCTTGCCTGAATTCATTGGGAAATATGCACAAAATGCAGGGAGAAACATGCAATTTAATTTATCCTGATATCTCAATTCCTCAGGAAAATACACAGGAAGTATATGTATTATGTAAACTCATACATTTATGCCTTATACAAATTCTTTGAATTTGGGGCATTTCAAACATCTGACACGCGATCGGGTTAGCATAAAGGATACCCATAAGAATACCTTACAAATGCTCGATATAATGAGATGAAACTAGAGAAGACATGAATTCTATTGAGCTGTGATAACGTTGAGGACTAGAAAAGCAATTATAAGGAAATACGCAATACCAAAAATACCAAAACACAAAAACAGAAATCTTGAGGATCATATTAGGCAAAGAATGATATAAAATATATCAATATTTTCAAGTAGAAAGAAAATATGAATACTTTTCTCACAGTTTGCAGTATTTTCTTGCTCTTGCACGTTTTTTCTAACTATCGTAGAAAGACAGTGAGTGAAATGAATCGCCCAGATAATTACAAAACCCCATGGCGGAAGATCGTTAGTCTGTGCAATTATTCTTGAGGAAAAATTTATGCAACTTCCGCGTTTCGGGATATTTTTTCAGTCCCACGGTGCAAGTTCTCTCAGGCGACCATCTTATGGCGTGTTGGCATTACAAAGCGTATACGGCGCACACATAATTGAGAGTTATTAAAGAAATTAATTGTGTCAACTATCACAATGGTGGGAAGTGTAAATGGAACTGGAAGATCGCTTGCGGCAGATGAAATGTGGAAGAAGCTGTGTGTGCTGTAAATTCGAAAATAACACCATGCCCCGGGTTTTTGCGCTGCGGTGTTGGAAAAGGCGTCCCTGCGAGAGCCCCAGACGTGCGGGGGTGACGGAGAAAAATGGACGGAATGAATGGAAGACCACAATGCAGTGATGGAACATGTGAATGTTTCGCATAGAGCGAGCACTGTTGTGGGGAAAATGGTGAAATGTGGCAAGTTAGTGCATTCATTGTGCAAGTACTCACTAAAGCGAACAATAAAAGAGAAGAAAAGCGTATTGAGAGGCGAGGGTCCAGAGAGGATGGGATAAGAGTGGGTGCTTCAAATGTAACTCAACACTAAAATGGATTTAAGAGGTTTTGTTGAGTCCACTGTGCCATTTTCTCTTCACATCTCCCGATGGAAAAACTCCATTCACACGATGGGCCTTCGAGAGAGTGTGAAAAAGAGCTATATTTGTTTAAATATCCAATACATTCCATCCCGTTTTAATGGAGAGAATGACAGTGGAGAGAAAAAAATTCAATTAATGCAAGAAGAATCGCTGGAATGTACATAAAGTATTATTTTTACAAAGAACTTTTTAGTGCGCACTGCAAAAGGAAGCACTGAGAATGCAAATAGAGGAAATGACGAAAAAATGCTGCTTTCATTCTCAAGCCTCACTCTAATGACTGCAAGCAAAGCGCGTGCACTAAATAATTGCACAAAATAAGACACAACTATGAATAGAATTATATATCAAAGCACGTGGACTTCATTTAGATAATTTCATGTCATGTCTTGCGAGTTATAGAGCAATTTAGAATAAATTGAACAATCTGTAACTCGTGTTGAATAATACGCATAAAATATGGAAGTCTGGCTGGTTGAGAGCTCATAAAAGCAGAGCAAATTCCTATAAATAAGAGACACACTCTTTGAAGTTGAAAATTCTGAGAAAGCTGATTAGAAAAGTCAGAGAGCTTTTCTACCCAACGAAAGCGATGCATAATGAATTTCAACTTGAAATATTGATGACTTCTAGTTAAGCTCCAAATCCAAAGGTCGATGGGCTTACTTCGAAATTCATCTACTCGAAATTCCGCTCATGCAATGATTATATATCTTTTGAAATAAAATCGCCCCTCGCCCGTAGTAAATATTAATGAGTAGTAAAGCTGTAAATTAGAACTTTCATCGAACTTTCCAATATTCTCATGAAATATGCAAGCTATATCTGGCCGCGATCAAAACTTTACATGGCTTTGAACTAAATCCTGAAGCAAATATTGGTAGTGACTGATTTATGTGCATGATTGATTTCAATCACAAATGATTGACAGATGTCAGAAAGGTGATAATATTTTATTGGATTTTCAAAATACATTTTTTAGATGGATATCAAATCATTGTCTGATCGAGACGACAATATCATAAACGCGCCATTGAGTCAATTTCACAGAGTTCTGTTTGAGAAATGATGATCGATATTTGATAACAACTCTTCGAATTATACTGTCTGAATGATTTGGCGCTGTCATTAGAATTAGAATGACGAGAAAATATCCCCAGAAGAGGCGATAAGAAAGCAGAATTGCGAGGAATTTTCTATCATTATTCATTCCAGCCACGACGCAGCCAAAAGTGGAAGATGTAAGCCTTGGTAGATGTCTTATATGAGATTTTCGTCCTCTCGCTTTATTATAGCGATATTGCACGTCCGCATAAGAAATATAACAGTGCTACTGTGTATTTTCGTATAAATCATGCTGATAACATTACGTACGTACTAAGCTCCTTCCCACACTAGCTTCAAATGTATTACATTTGAAAAGGAATTTAATATAATTGAATTAGTCAAAAGTAAATTGAAGAATGTCTTCAGGTTCTGTACCGATAAAATCCACGTGCAGGAACGGCTTGAATCGCAAACAATATTGAAGTCATCCATCTCCCAATCTCAAATGAGCTTCCACGACAGTCACTATTGATAAATGAGGTGAAAGAAAGAAGTAACGAGACTAGAACATAGATGAATTAATTTAATTTACACACTACAAACCCTATTCTTTATGTGGAAATGCATCGGAGAAAATTCACCGAAAATTTAATATGAAAAGATTTAAAATTCAACCATGAAGTATTCAAAGTGGGCCACTAATTAAACTTTTCAATTACAGCAAATTAATTCTCGTGCCCAAGTCTTGATTGGAAGCCTTTTCCACTCAACACGGGAGTTTTCCGTGAAAATCCAATCAGGATTGCAAAGGCGACCAATTACGAGACTTTCTTTGGCCACACAAATACTTCTCGACGCAAATAATCAACAATTACCATCTCCAGGAAAGTCTCGAGTTTAATTTCCACATCTTATTTGCTCTCTCGGTGTGTTTTCAAGGAAACTTTCGCTCTTGTCGCCGATTCGCTTTGTCGATGGCAATGCATTGGAATCCTCGTAAAGAGACTTTCCCGGACAAAGTGGGCGAATCAGCGACAAACATCCTTCAACTTTCATGTGAACCTCAGTGGGTAATTAATTTCCTTGTGCAGAACTTACTTTGCGAGCAACTTGAGAGCCTCATTTGGAAGCTCGAGAGTCGAATTCCCGAAGAAGGGACGCCAGAAGAGGCTTCCAAGTCGCAGTTTTCCAACCCCAGCGAAATGACTTGCATCTGCGCGATTTAAGCACCTTCAGCGAATCCTCACAATCTTCTCAACGCTCCTTTCATCTGCAAACTGTGGAGGGAGTTGTCGATGATGGAATGAAGACACTCTCGCGACAATCGCCGTGCTGCTCTGCATTGTGAGGCAGTGCATTATCCGCGGAAGAGTGGAATAAATTGTCAATGAGCGCCCCATTCCGGCCGGAAAGTGCTTCACGGAAGCTGCAGGCGTGAGATGCGCCCAAGACGCCACCCACTCGGCTCCCGACGAGGACTTTCGGGGCGATAGAGCGGTTGTGGGATTTATGGCATTTGGCGATGGCGTAATGGAGCGTCGCACAATGTGTTTATTTGTTTGATGGCTGCACAAACTGTGAAATTGGATTGTGTCTCAATGCCAATTGATTCTCTGCGGCTCACAGGACGCCTAATGGCCAGGATCGATGCAGCTTCAGTCAATTGGGACTGATTAGTCATTCGAGGACACACTTTGGGCGGCCCAAAACTTTTGCGCTGATTTATGAGCGTTTGTTTGTGGCACAACTCGAGAGGTGAAAAGGCCGCAAAGTTTCCGGCTCTCTCGAGGACGCTTCGGGACTCTCAAGGAATCTGGTCGGGATGCTCTGTTTGCACTCACCGATTGAGCTTGGTCGGCGGCGTCGCGTACGGAACTCCGAGGAAGATCTCCACCGGCTTGAGGAACTTGAAGGACTCCAGCGGCAGGATGAGTCCTTGCAGGCGGCCGTGGCGCGTCGGCACGATCCTGGGGCTGAGCCTGGCGTTCCTGTAGAGGCCGTCGGACGAGCAGGACGCGAGGGCGAGAGAGATCGCGGCCCAGACGAGCGACAGTCGCCAACTCATCTTGGCGCTCCTCAAGCAGCTCGCGAAGTCCCGCCTCGCATTTCCATCATTCCGGGATCATTTCCCGGCCACTGGCGCCGATTTAGACCTGCGAATAAAAGCAAATTTAATCAGTGAAATGGAATTGAGCCCTCCAACGCGCGTTTGGAGGACATTTTCGCGGATTTATGGCCGACGAGGTAAAAAAGAGCATTCAATTCGGTGGGAAAAAAGCCATCTAAATAAAATTGGAATCCGCGATGTCCAAATTGTCAATTTGCACGGAAAATCTGGATGAGATTGTCGTGCAAATTGCACCAAGTCTAGAGTAAATGCGAATTAATTGGCGGCACAATTGGACCAGTGAAAAATTCAAATCCGCCCCGAAAAGCGCGATGACGAGTGAGAGTTTCGAGAGGAGCTTTCGTTACTGCGCGCAGACATTTATAGGAATTTCCTGCTTCTCATTGCGATGCAGAATTTCAATTCTCCGCGTCAAGAGAGGATTGCGAGATGCAGAATTTTTCCCGAGAGTTTGTCTGTAATTACATTTGCGTCTGAGTTGGGAAACCGCGCTGCGACAGGAGCTGTAATTGAGAGAATCCGTACGACGGACAGGAAACGTCTTGAGAGGAAGGAAAAATTTGTCTAGGAAACTTTTAAATTACTCCTTCTGTTCCACGCAATCCCAGTGAATGCGAGAATGCACTTCTCGTGGTTACATTGAAGTCAGTTGGCGAACAAGGACGATTTGCTAGTGATGCGTTATCGAGAGTGGGAGTGAAATTCCCAGCATTCCGCCCGCAATTTCACCCCAGCGCTAATCACTATCATTACTTGGAGTGCTGCTGGGCCAACAATTGTCACTTGATTGCTCCTCGAAAGATCAAGTGAAGATGCCGAGTTTCGCCTGTCGAAGTGCTTCGAAGTGGTTTCGTAAGAACACTACAAATGGAAACACACGAAATTCCTGCCTGAATGGCTTCTGCAGCTCCGAAATCCGTGGCAGGGATCATTCCGCTCAATTCCAACCTGATTATGCTTCCGCGAGGGATTTCGAGTCTCTCTTTTCCGCGTCAACTGCAAACTTTGAAACCGAGTATTTTTCTGCAATTTCCAAAGGCAAATCCCGGAATGGAATCGAGAATGGAGAAATGGTCTCTTCGCAGGTGGAGCAAGTCGAGTGTTTATCCTCGATGTTGTTCTTGCAGCGGATCGGCGTCCCACTGAGATGTGCTCGCGACAATGGCGTGCTATCTCGGCCGTTATTCTCGCCGGGATCCTGCCACGTGCTGGCCCCGAGCTCATCATCATCATATAATCATTGTTGTCTTGATATTCATGCTGCAATGTGCCCTGAATTCCTAATACGCACTCGCCCAGGATCCGCTCTAGCGCTGTGTTTTCACTGAAAACATCATCCCATCGCCCGTTTCCAGTCGTCAGCACCCAAAATAATCACCAAGGAGGTCATAAAAAAGAAGAGCACTTCAGTCGAACAGCCCCTCTTCTTCGCCACTTTCTGCGTGCAATAAAATATTTCACACAGCGAGCTTTCGCCCTATTCTGCGCCTTTCCATCATTTGCATACACGATGGTATCGATATGGAGTGTGATTGAATTGATTACACATGCTGAAATTCACACATTCCCGTCTACCAATTGAAATGGGCGTGAGGAGTGAGGAAATGGCGCTTCCGGAATGCAAATCACTCGCCCAGTTTTAAAATGAACTCATTTTTATCCCGGGTTACCTCGTGCCGGGTGCGGGATTACTCGATGGAACACTGTTAATTTCAGCCAATCGCGAATTGCACTCATGGCACAGTCATGAAATGCGATTAGGCTCGATTTCAATATCCCATTGATGGGCGTGTGCTTGGGATTTGAAGGAAGCGCGGGATTCACTGGAGATTTCAATTATATTACTCGGAAATATATGAGTCGTATGAAATGGCGGAATTTATGCTAGTCGCTCGGCTGACGATGGAAAAGCACTCTCAAATCAAATCGCTTTATGTCCGCACACATGTCTGGATCCATTTTCAATGAAGTCCGAGGAGTGCTCGAAGTTTAAAATAGTCCCTGAGCATTAAGGGTGGGCCATAAACCCCAGAGTTATGCATCATACCGACTAATTCCACCCTCGGCTGGGCTCAGAGGTTTTGGTCTTCATTTGGAATGCCAGCAGATGTGCGCCTTTTGTAGTCTAATTAAATCTACGACTATGGGTGAAATATACGGCAACTTTTGGTCCAAGAGACAGCGCTTGGCACTGGTATTTAATTCATAATGGTCAAGACAAAATGCTACTCAAGGGTGTACTTAACAATTTATTGTCGTATTGCTGCTGAGGAATTTTCACCATCAGTGTCTCTGGTCTTCGAGGACAACTTGGCATTTGGATTTCGCCCATTGGCACTTGAACCCCTGAAAGTCTCATAGCTAGGAAAACTGTAATACACAAGATGCCTCTTGCCAAGAAACATAAAGAATTTATTTTTGGGTGCTGTAGACACACTCAAGTAACAATTCAGTGAAGAAAAATTTCGTTTTGTCGCTGCCTTTTATGTCCCTCACCCCCATTCTTCCCAATCTGCACTCGGCAATCTGAGGAGCGGAATTGGAACACTGACAAAATTCCAATTTTATGATTTCTTCTCTCCTCAGCAAATGCTCCACAATTGCATTTCATATCTTGAAAAGGCCATTCATTGACTATGAGTGTGCGAATTGCAGATAAGTGGATATTATTTTAGAGCACAAAGCAGAGTCTTCATGAAGACATTACAATGAAGACAATTACGCATTTCTTTTAATTCTCTTTGACAAATAAGTATAGAATATATGTGAATATTTCCACAATTGCAAACAAAGTCGGAATTCTCGAGTTGGCTGTTCTTCTATGTTTAAACTCAACCTAAATAAACAGATATTCATATGATTTCCTATGCTATAAACATGCAACCTTTCTTTGAGCTTCGAAATATCATGGGATTTATGTAGATTTTTGGGCCAGAAAGAACGACAATTTGAAGAGAAAGAAAAATAAAGCATGAATAACTTACATCTCGGAGGAAATTGAAAAAGGAGGTAATCATATTAGAATATTCCATTATGCGATAAAAGAAAAGCAGAGCAAATGTGAGAGAAAGTGAGGTATTTATGCATTTTCTTGTGATTTGAGAGAGAAAATACATAATAAAAAAGAAAATATAACGCGCAAAACATTGTCAAAAAGTTCCCCTCGCGATGTTGAGAAATCAAAAGCTCCTATTCGTCTCTCCTCGCCATGTCAAATTAACATTTTTATATTGAAATTTTATAATCTTCTTTAAATTTTTCGCCAAGGCGAAGGCAAGAACAGAAATTTCCTCCGCACGTCCTAAATAAATATTGTCAAATTTTCCTCCTCATCCATATTTTCTTATCCACTTTAAAGATTTTTATTGCCCACAGGCAGATGGGGAAAATTGCCTTTCGTTATTTTAGGCTTTTCCGCCTCTTCAACAACCTCTCATTTCCCTGCGCTCGAGCACATCTCAATAGCGCTAGCGAAATTATTTTTACATCAGGTAAGAGATGTTAGAATTGCTTTAATTTTTTATCAACTGAAATTTTTATTTTATCTGTTTTACGCCCCGAGAATACACTCTCACTTGCCATATGCTCACTTTTGAACCTGCGCTCCCCTTTTGGCACGTCCCCGCCCACAAGTTGGGCGCTTTTCCGGAGCGGGCAGATAATTTTCCACCGACGAGGCAAAAATCTATTCCAGCCCAGACTTAATCCCACTCCATCGCACAGTGATAATAACGATTATGGCATTCATGGTGGCTGGCACAAAGTAAAACAACTCCATCTCACCGGATTCCCTCAACCCGAAAGCCCTATGAGTAAATTCCATGTCTCTCCGCTCCACCGTCGCCCCGTGTCCGAGGAAATTTATGGTAATACGCCACAGGAGACCTAAATTCTCCTTGGAAGCTGTGGCAGAAGTTTTCTCAGGCCAAAAATAAAACATACTCTTCCAAATGGACAGTGGCAAATGTCCTGTCGGCCATTGTGATGTCCCCACAGCCGTAAGCAGCGTCAAATAGGGCAAAAGGAAAATAAAGAAATGGTAATGAATGCTTTCGTCAATGTTTACTGACAACTTTCTTCTGGGCCCAATTGAAAATTGTTCCTCGCCAATGGAGAGGAGGTGTGAAAATCAAATGACTCATTGACTTTCTCCCCTCATAGCTCTCAACACCATTGCTATTACCCTCCAAAAAAGGATGCCCGATGGATGGACCATCTCGTAAAACTTTATTTTACTCACTGAGCCTTCAATGGAGAAAAAATTTGGATAGCGTGTCATTGTGACATCGCTACACTCAGAGTAAAGGGCAGAGTTACAGCAACAATGACTAGAAGATTTTCAATTAAAGTCAGAGTTCTGAACCCAGATGGATTAAGTTGTGAAAATCTACTGTAGCATATGTCAATAAATGTAGACAAAGCCCATTAATTCTAAACGAATTACCCATCTAGAGATCAAAACCAAAAATTTCTCGACAGAAAAATAGAATACTTCTCATGATGGAGAGAAAAATAATATTTTGACAATAGTTGGAAAGTCTTTGTTTCGATCATTTTTTTCATAATGTAACGCCAATAAACATTCAGACCTTCGATAAAATATTTAAATTAGTCGTTATCGCGTTGGGTTTACAATAAAATAGGAAAGTGCTGATTTCACTCTCGTTTCGAGTTTGCCTGAGTGCTGGAAACCATTTAATGACCCATCAATTACATCACTGTCTTTCACCCACTCCAATCTATTGACGATGGTTGACTGGTGAGGTGACAGAGGGAAGTCAGGTGTAATCGACAATGCGATATTTTATGTG